GTGGGTTTGGCCTGCTGAGCTGGGGTGGGCAAGGGCATTTGCACACAGATGGTGAATGGGCTTCCTCCCCAAACCCTGGCTGCTATGCATTAGTTGTGTGGTTTCTGCCCCTCTGTGGTTCTCAAGGGTGATCTGGGTTCTGAGGAATCATAGTGACAGTTATAATACTTTATGTTTCTGTAGCACGAGTTGTATTTTTTCAATTTATGGAGAATTTTATTGTCATTTGAGTTATTACAAAGTAGTATCTGCTCACTTCTCTCCCTCTTTCTTACTCACACAGTCAGAAGTAGCAGACAAGCCAAAAGAAGAGGGTAAAGCCCCACAGATCCATCCACCTGTGTGAATGTCCTTGTACACCTTGTGTTTTAAAAGTACTGTCACATTTCCTTGCTTGTCCTCACTTCTGGGAAGATTATTAATATTTTGCAAATGAAGAAACTAAGGCACAGAGTGATTGAATTGGCAGAGCCAGGACTATAGTTACATCCCCTGACTCAAGTCCAGAATTCTGTCTCCTAAGCCTCCCAACCAAGGGCTGAGTAACCTTGGACCATGCTTAGTCTCCACTGCTCCAAACCATAGACTTTTCTTGCTCTCCTTCCAGCCTACATCCATTCTATTCATGGCCACTCAGGATTCTCTGGGCAATGACCAACGACAAAGGGGCTTCCGAACACACCCTCTTGACTGTCTCAAAGCACAAGAGGGCTGTGTCTCTGGCTCCCATTGGCTCCCCCTTGGTTTCTGACCTGAGAATCTGCAATGGTAGGGTTGGGCCAGGCCACCCACAATAGGGACTGGAAGACCTCAGGGCATGGACTTTGTGTAGCTGCCCAGAGTCAGGGTGCACAGTTAGCACTGCAGCAGGCACAAATGGGGGTGGGGGGTGGGGAAAGAAGTCACAGACCCAAGGCCAGGCTGCAGCTAAGAGCTGGCAACCCTTGTCCCGGAGGAACTCCTACAAGGGAGGGGATGGATGCCCCAGTTCCTGAGAACCTAGCACCCCTAACAGGATGATACAAAGCATCTTGGCCTTGGAACCTGGCCCATGTCTCTGCCCCAATCCATCCCCCCATTAAGGTTTACAAGATACTGGTGCCCCTTCCTGTCCACTTTACACATAATAATCAGCATGAAGCCCAGCTCTGGCCATTGAGAGAAAAGCAAACAATTACTTACAGTTCCCATGGTAGAGACATACACAGAGTGTGGTGGAACCTGGAGAATGGAGTCATTCCACAAGAGGGTCAAAGGAGAGTTTACAAAGGAAATGCCATGTCAATGGAGCCTGGATGAGTAGAAATTTCCCCGGTCAAGAGGAACACTCAGTACAGACCAGGACGTCCGTGCAGGACTACCAGGGAGAGCCAAGGCAAGGAGACATTGAAGTTCATGGTGTGTTGAGGGAATGTTGAGTGATTCAGCGTAGCTGGAGCAGAGGAGGCTGGAAGCACAGTGAAGGAGTGGGGCAAAGGGAGAGAAGAATGGGAAGGGGGCCGGAAAGGAAGGCTGGGGCCAGGTTGTGAATGGGCCTGGATACTCTGGTAAGGCATCTGTCTTTATCCTGAGAGCCACAGGGAGTCAATGAGAATTCTGAGCTGGAGGATGACAATAATCAGATTTTGGGTTAATAAAAATGCTGTCAGCAGTGTGAAAGATGAATTAAAAGAGGACAAGACTGGGGAACAAGGAACAATATTAGGAGGCTAGGATAGTCCAGGTGAGATGATAGTGGACTCAGCTATGAGCATGGCCTTGGGATAGAAGAGGGAATGGATTTGAAAACCATTTAGAAGCAGAACTGGTTGGATTTGGTAGTTGATTGAAGGTGGGAGGTAAGAAGTAGGAGCAGTTGAAAGTTCCTAGCTCTATAATGCTCCTGCATAGCTCTATAATGTTCCTGTACTGCTAAAAAGCCTTCAGTGGCTTCTCCCTGCCTCCCCAAAGAGGGTGAAACCCATGGTCTGCAGTCCTCATCTTATGATCTGGGCAGACGTGTCCTTCACAACTCTCATCCACACGCTGTGGCGAAATTCCCACAAACCAATTACCCCAACAGGTTCTGGGATTTCTGATCCAATGTAAATGCCCTTTTTTCTTATCTCCACATATGCAAATCCTATTTTTTAAAGCATGTCTCAGACGTCTCATATATTATAATAATTGCACTTAACAGTGTTAAGTACTTGCTATGTACTACACACTGTTGTACCTACTTTACATGTATTATGCATCTTGTTTGATTTCATAATAACCATGCAGAAAGGGTGAGCCCCATTTTACATATGAGGAAAGTGAGGCCTAAAAACGAAAAAAAATAAAATAAACCCATTGCCATTACGTCGATTCTGACTCATAGCAACACTAGAAGACAGAGTAGAACTGCGCTACAGGGTTTCCAAGGCTGTAATCTTTACGGAAGCAGACTGCCTCATCTTTTTCCCATGGAGCTGCTGGTGGGTTCTAACCACCGACCTTTCAGTTAGCAGCTGAGCTCTTAACTACTGCACCACCAGAGCTCCAGGGAGGCCTAAATACTTGACCAAGGTAACAGCTGTAAGTGGCAAAATGATGCCGTAAACCACAACACTACTCTTTCTGTCGGGCTGACTTCTCTGTTTCTATCTCTATCCTTTCTCTCGCCCTGCCTCTGCCCACCCACACCGATACATCATGGTTCCATTGCCCTTGATCTGGGCCTTCTGGAGGGCACTGCTTACTGTCTGTCTTACACCTGGATTACTCTAGTCCTCCTCTGTGTAAACTGGATGCTCCTTGGTCAGAATCCACATTCCATGTCTGTCAGGCATGGGGCGTTGCTCACAGAGGCTGCTCAAGTACTAATTGAGTTAGTGAATAGCCCTGGGTGTGTGGGAAGAGGCCTTGGCCTGCTCCTGGGGGCCCACACTGTTCTTTGAACTTGTCTTATTTCCCCTACTGGAGACAATTTCTCTGCCTCCCCCACCCCCACTCACACGTCTCCAGAACCCTGGATCCCTTTCCCAGATGATGAGTTCCAAGTCCTGCTTTAGCCAAGGTTTGCTAGCTCAGACCATGCACTATGTTGTAAGTTTTCAGATGTGTCTCCTCCAGTTGAAAGAAGTCCATATAGGCCAAGAATGAACTTTCTTATTACCCATAAAATATAGCTACTATTTATTTCTAACAATAGCTTTCTAACAATCTGCCAGACACTGTGCTTTGCCCTTCACAGACTTTTAAAAAATTTAGTCCTTACAGTAAGCCTATAAGGTACAGATTTTAAAATCTTTTTTGCAAACGAGGAAACTGAGGTTCAGAGAAGTTACATACCTTGCCCAAGGTTGCACAGCTAGAAACTGTTGGAAATGGGGAGTCTGACTCCAAAGCCCACGTCCTTCCCAAGATCTCCTGGCACCTAACACAGGGCCCGGTCCCAACAGCATGATCAGGGCTTGTGGAATTGAATGAATGGAGAATGAGGAGTGCTGGAGAAGATCGTGTGTGACCCATGTTTCAGCAACATAGAGGGGAAGAAGGGACGAGTGGGGAGAGAACTCTGTGCGGTTGGGGAGGTCTCCCACTGGGGACTGGGTATCAGGGTCAAGGCCGTGTGTCTCCTGACCTCTGTGGGCTCATCTCTAGGTCCGCTTTGTGAATAGCACGTGGGTGTTTGGGAAGGGCATGTGCCACGTCAGCCGCTTCGCCCAGTATTGCTCCCTGCACGTCTCAGCACTGACGCTGACGGCCATTGCTGTGGACCGCCACCAGGTAAGGGCACCTACCCCAACACTCTGTCCTTCCTGCTCTGGCTTTGCTTTCCAGGGGGCTGCTGGAGTCTCTTGTGACAGTGTTTTAGCCCCCTTTTTTAAATAAATATTTTAAAGATTTTTACTGTGGTGAAATACATATAATAAAACATCTGCCATCTCAATCATTTTTACATGTACAATTCAGTGGCATTAATTACACTTACTATGTTGTGCAGCCATCACCATGATCTGTTTAAATATTTTTTAAGAGGTTTTTTTTTTTTAATTGTGCATTAGGTGAAAGTTTATAGAGCCAGTTAGATTCCCATTCAATAGTTTGTATATAAAGTGTTTCGTAGCCTTGGTTCATTCCCCATAATATGTCAGCACTCTCCCCATCTCCGCCCTGGGTTCCCCGTTCCCTTTCGTCCTGATTTTCTACCACTCCCTGCCTTCTCATCTTTGCTTTTGGGCAAATATTACCCTTTTGATCTCGTATAATTGATTGTTCTAAGGAGCACATTCCTTTTGGGTGTTATTGTTTATTTTATGGGCTTATCTATTGTTTGGCTGGAAGGTGGTCTTTGGGAATGGCTTCAGTTCCAGTTCAGAAGGGTGTTTTAGGGCCATAGTCTTGGTGGTTCCTCCAGTCTCTGTCAGACTAGTAAGTCTGGTCTTTTTTGTAAATTTGATTCTTTGTTCCACATTTTTCTCCCGCTCTGTCCGGGACCTTCTGTTGTGATCCTAGGTAGAGCATTTGGTAGTGGTAGCTGGTCTCGGGGTCGTGTAGGCTGTGGTGTGTGGGATCCATTAATCCTTTGGACTAATTGCTCCCTTGAGTCTTTGGTTTTCTTCACTCTCCTTTGCTCCAGATGGGAAGAGACCAATAGTTGTATCTTAGGTAGCCACTTGTGAGCTTTTAAGATCCCAGACACTACTCACCAAAGTAGCATGCAGAACATTGTCTTTATGAACTATGCTGTGTCAATTGACATAGATGTCCCCTAAGTCTATGATCCTTTGCCTTGGACCCTAGAACTTCATTCCACGAGGTGTTTGGTTATATCTAAGAGGTTTCCCAGACTGTGCCTGTGGTGCACGCTATTGTCTATATTAATATATGAGGAGCACCTACAGTCATGTATATAGATAAAACCACCACCAAACCTGTATCTGCAGGTGGATGTGTTCTCTTACACTTCCCAAACCTCTTGGCATATCTATCTACCTATGTATCCATTCATAAATTATTGTGTGTTAATATTATTGTTACAGGATTGTCTGTGCTATAGTAGTTACCGTAGTTGCCCTTTATTCTCGCATTCCTCTCAGTGTCCTCTCTTACCTTGGTCATGTTGTGCTGACTTCTCCCATATTGTGTATTGCCTTTCCCTTCACCAACATTCACATATATCTTCTATTTGGAAAATTTTCTTCCCTCACCCTCCCATCCCTGGTAACCATCCAAGAGTGTTTTTTTTTTTTTTTCTTTTTTTTCTGTGTGTAAATGTTTTGTTCTTACTTTCTAATAGTGGTCTCATACAATATTTGTCCTTTTGTGATTGACTTATTTCACTCAGCATAATGTCCTCCAAATTCATCCATGTTGTGAGATGTTTCATGGATTCATCATTATTCTTTATGGTTTGTTAATGCATTCATTTTGCTACTGTGAATAATGTTGCAACGAATGCGGGTGTGCATATGGTTATTCGTGCCATGGTTCTTATTTTTTAGGGTATATACCTAGGAGTGGCGTTGCTGGATCATATGATATTTCTATTTCTAGCTTTTTGAGGAAACGTCATATTGTTTTTCATAGTGGATGTACCATTTTACATTCCAACCAGCAGTGTGTAAGAGTTCCAATCTCCCCACAACCTTGCCAATATTTGTTATTTTCTGTTTTTTTGATTAGTGCCAGTAATGTCGGGATAAAATGGTATCTCATTGTAGTTTTGATTTGCATCTCTCTAATTGCAAATGATGATGAGCATTTCTACATATGTTGGTTAGCTGCCTGAATGTCTTCTTTGGTGAAGTGTCTGTTCATATCCTTTGCCCATTTTTTAATTGGATTGTTTGTCTTTTTATTGTTGAGGTGTTGAAGTTTTCTATAAATTTTAAAGATTAGAGTCTTGTAAAAATTTTTTTCCCTATCTGTAAATTCTGTTTTTACTCTTTTGGAGAAGTCTTTTGATGAGCATAAATGTTAAATTTTTAGGAGGTCCCATTTAACTAGTTCATCTTTGCTGTGTGTACATTATTAGTTATGTTTGGTATTCTATTTATGCCATGCATTAGGGCCTCTAGCCTTTTCCTTATTTTTTCCTCATGATTTTATAGTTTTAACTTTTACATTTAGGTATTTGATCCATTTTGAGTTAGTTTTTGTGTATGGTGTGAGGTATGAGTCCTGTTTCATTTTTATACAGGTAGATATCCAGTTTTGCCAGCACTATTTGTTGAAGAGACTGTATCCTCCACCATTTAATGGACTTTGGCCCTTTATTGAAGATAGCTGTGCATAGGTAGATAGATTTACGCCTGGGTTCTCAATTCGGTTCCATTGGTCTTTGTGTCTGTCATTGTACCAGTACCAGGCTGTTTTGATCACTGTGGCTGTGTAGTAGTTTCTGAGATTAGGTAGTGTGAAGCCTCCTACTTTGTCCTTCTTCAATAATGCTTTACTTATCCAGATCCTCTTTCCTTTCCATGTAAAGTCAGTGATTAGTTTTTCCATTTTGTTAAAGAATGCTGTTGCAATTTGGATTGGGACTGCATTATATCTGTAGATCACTTTGGGTAGCACTGACATTTTCACAATGGTGAGTCTTCCTATCCATGAGCATGCTACGTTTTTCCATTTATGTAGGTCTCTTTTGGTTTCTTGCAGTAGTGTTTTGTAGTTTTCTTTGTGGAGGACTTTTATGTTCCTGGTTAGATTTATTCCTATGTATTTTATCTTTTGGGGGGCTATTGTAAATGATATTGTTTTCCTGATTTCCTTTTCATAGTTCTCTTTATTGGTGTAGACGAATCCAACTGATTTTTGTATGTTGATCTTGTATCCTGCTACTTTGCTAAATCCTGCTACTAGTTCCAGTAGCTTTCTTGTGGAATTTTTGGGATTTTCTATGTATAGGATCATATTGTCTGCAAATAAGCATAGTTTTACCTCTTCCTTACCAATTTGTATGCCCTTTATTTCCATTTCTTGCCTTTTGCTCTTTCTTAGGACTTCAAGTACAATGTTAAATAAGAGTGGTGATAATGGGGATCCTTGTCTTGTTCTTGTTCTCAAGGGGAATGCTTTCAGTCTCTCTCCATTGAGAATAATGTCGACCATTGGTGTTGTATAAATGCCCTCTATTTTGTTGAAGAATTTCCTTTTTATTCCTATTTTGCTGAGTTTTTTTGTTTTTAAATCAGGAATGGGTGTTGGACTTTATCAAATGCCTTTTCTGTGTCAATTGAGATGATCATGTGACTCTTTTGTTTTATTTATGTAGTCGATTATGTTGGTTGCTTTTTTAATGTTGAACCATCCTTGCACACCTGGTATGAATCCCACTTGGTCATGATTTTTTTTTTTATGCTGCTGAATTCTATTGGCTAGAATTTTGTTCAGAAGTTTTGCGTCTATATTCATGAGGTATATTGGTCTGTAATTTTCTTTTTTTGTTGTGTCTTTACCTGGCTTTGGTATCAGGGTTATGTTGGCTTCATAGAATGAATTCAGGAGTATTTCTTCCTTTTCTATGCTCTGAAATAGTTTTAGTAGTATTGGTGTGAGCTCTTCCCTGAATGTTTGGTAGAATTCTCCAGTGAAACCATCCGGACCAGAGCATTTTTTTTGTTGGAATTTTCTTTTCTTTATTTGGTTACTTCTTCAATCTCTTCTTTTATTATAGGTCTGTTCAGTCTTTCTACCTCAGTTTGTGTTAGTTTAGGTAGGTAGTGTGTTTCTAGGAACTTGTCCATTTCCTGTAGATTTTCATATTTGTTGGAGTACAATTTTTCATCATATTCTGTTATGATCCTAATTATTTCAGTCGGTTTTGTTGTAATGTCACCCATCTCATTTCTTATATGGGTTATTTACTTTCTCTCCTGCTATTCTATTGTCAACTTGGCCAATGGTTTGTCGATTTTATTGATCCTTTCAAAGAATCTACTTCTGGTCTTGTTGATTCTTTCTATTGTTTTTCTGTTCTCTATTTCATTTATTTCTTTTCTAATCTTTATTATTTCCTTTCTTCTGGTGACCATGGACTCATTTTACCATTCTCTATTTGTTTGAGTTGTAGGGTTAATGTTTTATTTTTGGCCCTTTCTTCTTTTTTGACATGATGTGTGAGTTTATTGCTATAAATTGTCATCTGAGCACTGCTCTTTACTGTATCCCAAAGGTTTTGGTAAGATGTGTTTTCGTTCTCATTTGATTCTAGGAATTTTATCTTTGATTTCTTCTATTACCTAGTGGCTTTTAAGTAAGGTGTTATTCAGTTTCCATGTATTTGATTATTTTTCCTTGCTCTTCTTGTTATAGCATTGTCATCAGGAAAAATACTTTGTATTATTTTGATGTTCTGGATTCTTTGAGGCTTGTTTTGTGGCCTAAAGTGTTGTCTATTCTGGAGAAAGATCCATATGCATTGGAAAACAACGTATACTTTACTGCTGTTGGGTGTAGTGTTCTGTATATGTCTATGAGGTCAGGTTGGTTTGATTGTGGCAATTAGATCTTCTGTATCTTTGTTGAGTTTCTTTCTAGTTGTTCTGTCCTTCACCGAAAGTGGTGTGTTGAAGTCTCCTACTATTATGGTGGAGCTATTTCTCTTTTCAATGCTGTTAGAGTTTGTTTTATATATTTTGGAGCCCTGTCACTGGGTGCGTATATATTTATTATGGTTATGTCCTCTTGGTGAACTGATCCTTTAATCATTATATTTCCTTCCTTATCTTTTTTAATTAATTTTTTCTCATTCAAAACTTTATACACAAATTGTTTTGTGA